GATCTTTCAGAAAGCTCTCCAGACAGTGTTCCAGTTTGCTTCCCTCCTCTGTGCCTCATTCCCTCATTCCGCCTGTCTGTGTGATGCCATATCCACACCCTGTCCCCAATTTGCTGCCTAGGCAGAATTTTCAGAGTGCGCTGAGGTCTCCTGGGAGAAAGGCTTGGCGTCTGGAGTGGCCAGTTCTGGGACCAGGTGTGAACACACCAAGTAGCCCCATGGAGTGTATGGCTAGTTTCTAGTTTCTTCACGTGCCAGATCCCGGAGAATTGGCGAGAAACCCTGACCTCAGTGGTGTGCTAGTAAACAAGCAACTTTCTGGGTGGACATCAGGGAAAGGCTCTAATCTGTCACGTTTGCCAATTCTGTGGTGTAAGTGTTCCCACCATGACCGAGTTCAAGCTACCAAATGTGAAATTCCTTGCAAAATTCCTGAACATTTAAGTTGGCTTTCACAGGCCAGAACCAAGGAGCTCCAACCCATCCTTTAACGGTCATGCCCTGTCCCGGTCCATCCAGCCTGTTCCCCTGCCCCTGCTCTTCAGGCTATACTGCCCAGTAACCTCCCCCCAAAACCTCATCATAAGTCACCCTCCTCCGCTGCCCCCAGACCTTGCAGACGACAGCAGCAGGCCTCTCCCTTTGAGCTCCAGTTCTTGGGGAAATGGGTGTCTCTGGCTGGAAAAGGAATTCTATTTGGAGATAAACATTCATTCCCCAAACCTGGAGGAAATACAGTGTTTGCTGAATTGGCCCCCAGGAGCTAAATAAATTTGAACCTCCATCTTCCTCAGACCAGCTCTGCTCTCTTCTCTACTCTGAGCCCCAGTAAACAGCCTCTCAGCTGGGGCCTCTTGGGATGCTGGCGAGTGACTGGCTGCCTTCCCTTACATTTTTTTTCTACGCTTTCCTTTGTAACCCAGCAGAGCTTCCCCTCCCCTCCCCCAAAGTCCTGCCTAGAGAGGGGGACGTGAGAGGAAAAGGAGCACCTCCCCTCAGCCCTCTCTCCTAGAAACCCCTCTTTATGGGAGCTCCTTATGGGTGCCTTCAGGGACGTGAGGAAATTCACCCTTCATGGGCAGAGCAGAGCACACCAGCCTACCCTGTATTTCACCCGTAAATGGGCTGTACACACAGACGTAGCTCTGCTTTGCTTTAGGAAAGAAGAACATTCTGGAAATCTCATGTTTAATAACCACCACCCCTCCACCTGGGGAGCACTTTAGAGTTTCCAAAGCACTTTTCTATACTGCGCATCCTCTAATCCAAACCTCACCCCAACCCCTGGTGGTGGGTAGTGATTATTAAAGCACCCTCTCGGTGTCTGAGCCTGTCAGGGCTGGAAGGGACTTTAGATGTCACCTAACCCAGACACCCAGCTAGAGCGCTTCCATCCCCTACACAGGGTCCCACAGCTGACTGGTCAGTCTCTGCTTGGCCCCTGCGATGGTGGAAACTCACCTACCTCATGGATGCAGCCCATTCCAGCCTAGGAGAGCTCTAAGACTTGGCAACTTGGGTCAAGCCCAAATCTGTCCCCGTGTTTTATAGATTTAATGCAGTTTGTAGTTTGACCCTTCAGGGCATACAGATATGCCCTGGGCATACTGATAGAATCGAATCCCTCGTTCAGATCATCAAAGGGGGCTCTCCTGTCTCTCCATCACTCCCCTCCCCCAAATCTCTCACACATCCCAGATTCCTTCAGATTTCCCTCATACAGTTTAGTGCAGAATCCCTTCACCAGGCTGCTCAGCGTTCCTCTGAATGTACTTTCCCGTAGCTGTGTTGGCACAGTGAATGGGACTGGAAGCTGTGTGTGAGCTGTGCTTCTGTTAATGCATCCTTGGATAGCATTCGTTTAGGTTAGGTTTTTTTTTTGTTGTTGTTTTTGACAGATACATTACTCTTTGGACATATTGAGCCTGCTGTCAACTAAACCACTGCTGCTGAACCGTGTCTTCCCTGTTCTGCACTTATGTTATTGATTTTATTTTTTTGACCCAAGTGTTAGAAGTGTTGAGTTCCGACTTATTAGGTGTAAATGAATCTTATTAGACTTTACGTGTTGTCCACATCTGTAAAGATCCTTTGGATCTCCGTTTCATGTCGCCCATAAATTTGCTGAGCATTTCTTCAGATATCCTCTAAGTCACTGCTAGAAATATTGAAGAAGATGGCTAAGGAGAAAGTATGTGGCACTCTCCTAGAAGCCTTCCTCAAACATCTACCCTTTAATTGTCATGCTTAGGGGAAAGCTGACTAATCCACACAATTGTCCACTGGGCCACTTCTCTCCTTGTTTTCCACAAGGACATCATGGGAGGTACTGGGCTGAGGTCACTTAAACCATCCATTTCTACCACACCTCCTGGTCTGCCGGCTTTGTACAAGGTCAGACAATTAAGTTTGCGAACTCATCCTAGAAAAAGTGCTACATGCCTCATTGCTGAGTATCACTACGGTCATCTTCGAAGTACTCCCCTTGGGAAGCTATGCACTGACACCAGTGCCTAGTCCACCCTTCAAAGCAATTTTGGGACTCTTTCTGGAATGGCCATCAGAGCTGTCATTGTATTACCCTTGGTGCCTTGAATGTCATCAAAATGTCTTCCTTTTAATATTTTCTTTATCTTTGGGTAAAGAAAGAAGTCATGCAGAGCTAGATCAGGTGAGTAGGGAGGGTGTTCCAATACAGTTATTTGTTTCCTGGCTAAAAACTCCCTCACAAACAGTGCCGTGCGAGCTGGTGCATTGTCGTGATGCAAGAGCCATGAGTTGTTGGAGAAAAGTTCAGGTCGTGTAACTTTTTCACACAGCCTTTTCAGCACTTCCAAATAGTAAACTTGGTTAACTGCTTGTCCAGTTGGTACAAATTCATAATGAATAATCCCTCTGATATCAAAAGAGGTTAGCAACATGGTCACAAGTTCACGAACTTAATTGTCTGACCTCGTAATCAAGTTAAATCCAGAAACTGAGCTCCATTATAGCAGGCAGTCGGCCTTGTGACCCCAGTGCCCAGCATAGTGCCTAGTACGTGGCAAGGACTCGGGAAGCATTTGAAGAAATAATCGGTTGCATTCATGAATGAAAGAAACTGGCTCGGATCAATGTGAACATTAGCAATATTTAGTTTTGATTCTACCTTCTTTCTGTATTTTGAAAATTAGAACATTCCTTTCTACTTTCTTCCCTACAGCACCTCTTTAATACTCATGAATCCTAAAAGGACACCAATTTACTTACTGATGAGAAAATAGGAGCTTGGGAAAGTTAAGGGATTTGCCCAAGGTTAAAAGCTAATAACAGGAGACAGTAGAATTTAAGCAATTGTCTGCTGGCTTCAAGGTACCATGATGTATGTCTAGCCTCTTGTGCACCGAGTTTGGGAAAGACCCCCCTGCTCAGCCAACAGTGACATGGACATTTCATCCTCACAAAAAATGATGGGGAAATAGAGTGAAGCAGGTATATTTCTTTTATAGCCTCAAGTCTCATTCGCTACCCATCATTCATTAATTCATTTCATTGATTCAGCAAATATTTATTGAGCATCAACTAGTGCTATCATGGGCCTTAAGAATACAACTGTTAATCAGTCCCTCTTTAAGCTTAAATTTCAGTTGGGGGTGGGAGAGAAAATAACTAAGTAAGTAGATATATATGGACATGATAAGGGCTGTGAAATAAGGCAGAACCTGGGGATTGCAAAGGGCAGAGAGGCTCTATTTTACTCTGAAGACATGGCATCTGAGCAGATACGAAATGAAGGGAATGAGACAGCAAATGTCTTGGGGATATCAGGCCAAGCAATACTATGCTGTATTCATGGAGGTACAACATGTTTTCTTCCAGAAAGCAGGAACCTAGATCATATGATGAACTTTCCAGTTATAAAATATCTGATTCTTTCCAGGTGTATTCATTCATTTATTCACTTATTTATTTTCTCAACAAATACTAAGCATCTTCTCTGGGTCAGTTGAGTGCTGGGAATGAAGATGTGAACAAAGCTTTAGTGCAGGAGGCAGACAAGTCTATGAGCCCAATAGCACCATGGGTAAGAGCTGTCATGGCGCCATGGACAGCCTGGAGGAAGAGAACAGTTGAGGCATGTCACCATTCATGACATTCCAGGGCTCCATCTGACTACAGAAAATATGACATAAAAGCATTAAACTCTGCAATGAAGATTATCAAAAATGTCAAAGCCATTTAGCCATTTCTTTAAACAAAATCTTATACAGAAAGTCCAATATGTAATATTAAAAGGAATTGTTCTGGTTGTAACAAAATTAGGGCCCTAGAGGCACCTTCTAAAACATGTAAGAGGATGAAAACTACTGCCTTAAATATCTGTTATGGTTAAGAACAAAAATCTGTCCATTGTCCACCCAAATCCGCTTATATTCAAGTGCCCAGGTAAACCAAATTTGGAGAACTGTTCAGTTATCAATCAAAACCATTAAAACAGTTACCTCTGGCTTGCATTAAATGGAATAAACCTCTACTCAAATGACAACTGATTCAGCTATTCCCGCCCCCCTTCCAAGTCATCAAATCAAACTTAACACGGCCCAATACAGCCCAGATGACTCACAAGCACAGTTTAAAGGGCTTGTCATTGTGTTGTTTTCTGTTTCTGGACAGAGGGCACCACATTAGTTTGCATTAAGAATCATCTCTTTTAAAGTGTGCTGGTACACCCCCTGGTTTTGAATTGTCCTAAATTGTTCTCTAGAACATTCTCATGAACATGAGAATGTTCTCTAGAACATTTTTCAGTTAAAGAAAGTCCTGCTTTCTTCGCACTCAGACACATATAATAAGGGATGCTCACAATTCTCTTGCACATTTTCTCTTACACACACACACACACACACACACACACACACACACACACACACCACAGGCCAGGGTAGGCCTCATGATTCCAGCTGAGGAACCAGCTGTCCTGGCCACACTAACCCGCCGCCTCCCCTTTCTTCTCTCTGCAGATGACGGCAACTGCCCAGGCGCCCTCTAAGGCCCAGGCTGTCCACATCTCCGCACCTTCAGCCGCTACCAGCACTCCTGTACCCAGTGCCCCCATTGACCCCCAGGCCCAGCTGGAGGCTGACAAGCGAGCTGTGTACAGGTAGGAGACACTTCAGCCATGGTGAGAAGCCCCAGCCAGCCTCAGGCCCAGCTCAGCTGTGAGAGGATGAGATTACAGGCCAGTGGGTGGGCTCAGCAAAGACAGTGGCCAACAGCTGCTCCCTGAATGGCCTTCTGTCTCCAGTGAATCCAGAGATCCCTCAGCTGGTCACTGTGGGTTGACGCTAGCTTCCTAGAGCTCTCTAGTGAGGGATATGAGGGCCTGGGCAGTAGCTTCCTCGTCCCAGCTGAGGAGGTGAGCCCTAGTGAGCTAGAAACCCTCAGCTCAGCAAACAGGCAGCTGCCTGGGGACTTCCCTTGTCCTGTCCCATTGTTGCCTTCACTCCAACAAGAGCACTGGACACCTGGTTGCACCATCTAGGACTTGGCATTACGCGAACTTTAGTATGCCTGAAAATCATCGGCAGAGCTTGTTAAAATGCATGGTTTTAGGCTTCCATGCTCAGAAATGCTGAATCTGTAGGTCATGCTATAGGAAGAGGAATATGAACTTTTAACAACATTCCAGGTGAACGTAATGCAGCTGGTCCTTGGATCACATTTTGATTCATTGGTAGCCTTTGGTTTTGAGCAACAGGTGTTGTGTGCAGCTTAACAGGTTCTGGCACCTTCCCCAGATGGGGAGTCTGCTGATAGCAGGCACTTGTCTCATCTTGCTCTGCACCAGCCCATGCACCCAGGGCTGGGCCCTGACTGATCCAGAGGGTGGGAGGGGCTCAGGGAAGTTCCTGTGTGTCTGTGTAGGTGGTGGGGAAGAAGCTGGAGTCCACCTGTATGAGGCTTCAGCAGGCACTGTGCTATCATTTGTCCACAGGGAGCACACGACACTAAGAGAAGGCACCCAAGTCCCGCTCAGCTCTGAGGCTGGACCCTTGCTCACATTCGCCGTGTGAGCATAGATGTTCACATGTACCAGTCAGCACAGCTTACCTCCGCCTGGGCACACATTACAGCAGGTGCGAATGTCAGTAACATGCGGAATGGGCCACCCAGGGTGGAGAGGAAGAAGATTGATTCCTTCCTCACTCCCCCTGCAATGACAGTGCCTTTATGGTAATGGTGGTGATTATTGCTGTTATTATCATTATCACTGGCATTATTTTTAGTTACTCAGATGAGCTGAATGCTTCTAATGCCAACAGTTGGAAGTCCAGAGCAGTGGGCTCTGATCCATAGATCCTTGCATGAGGGTCCTTCCCAGGCCTGGAGGAGGGATAAATCACAGTGCCTGGGCCCCCCTACCCAGGTCTGGTCCAGCTGCCTGCAGGGAGCAAGCTCTGCCTTGGACCCCAAAGAATGCCAGGACCTGGTCTTGTCAGAGAGACTCTAAGGGGGATCAAGCCAGCCTCCCTCAGTATGGGACTGGACACTTCTGTCCTCACTCTCCTCCTCCCTTCACACTCTTTCATTGAGCCCTTACTATTAATGTGTGGAAGCCCTGCCTGGACTCCAGGGGAAAGAGGGTAAACCTATGAAGTACATGGGCTGTTCCCTGCCTCTTCAAACAAGAAACCAACACAGTATGGTCAGAGCTCTAACAGAGATGGCTTCACAGAAGAGGCAACATTTGAGTTTGATCTCAAAGGCTGGTAAAAGAGTTCACCAGGAGGAGCAATGGGTAGAGTAGACCTTCTAGGCAGAGTAGATCCTGACGTGTTCCAAGAACGTCCAGGAGCCAGAGCAGCTGGAAAGGGAGATGCAGCTGTACAACTACCTGTAAGTTAACCTGTGTGGTGGGCTGCTGCTTCGGTGAGGGCTGTACAAAGGGAGAGGAGAATAACATGGCCTCCGGAAACTGCCTGATGGTCTGATGATTTGGGGGTACAGCCATTATATTTCACTGAGATCCCTGCTACTCAAAATGTGGTCCACGATGAGCAGCAGCATGTTGCCTGGGAGCTGATTAGAAATGCAGAATCTCGGGCCTCCCTCAGACCTAAGGGTTCATGATCTGCACTTTAACAAGATCCCAGGTGATGCATGTGCACAGTAAAGACTGACCCCAGGCACCTTCCGAGACTCCTGGGGGCAGGGACCTGTAGTGATCAGAGTCTAGAGAGGGACCCAACCCCACCCCCGCCAGATTTGTGTGTAACAAAAAGCTTCTGGAAACTGACTTTTTTTTTT